ATCCATCCATCCATCCATCCATCCATCCATCCATCCATCCATCCATCCATCCATCCATCCATCCATCCATCCATCCATCCATCCATTTGTCTTTCCATGCAGTATTTTATCATTGTTTTTTTTAAAAGAAAACAATTTAAGAAATCCTAGAGGTAAATCATGTTAGTAAATTGCATCATTAACTGTTTTACTCTATCCACAGATCTCAGCCCATCTAGAAAAAGCACATTTACAGATGAACTGCACAAGCTCGTTGACAATTGGACAAAAGAGACATTTGGTCCTGCTCCGATCAAACCTTCGCTAAATCAAATCAAGCAGATTCAGCAGGTCCAAGGAGGCTGGAGCCAGTCTGCAGAGGTATGCCTTAACACAATTAAAGACATGATATGAAACCAATACCTATTTTTTGTGTATTAAGATAGATGGAATGCATTTAGAAAAATACGTTTTTTTTAATTATGTAATTTCATTTATTTTATCTGTGTGTAATGAATCAACAAGTGATTGTGATTTGGAAGGAAACATACATAGATAAGAAACTTTTTGGATATTTTACAAACTTTTTTGCAAGTTATCTGTGAAGATTATCAGTCATCCAGGTCATGCCAAGCTGAAAAAGTTCAATTTAGTCAACTGGATTTCTAGATGTTTTGTTTCAAAAGAAGAAGCCTCTTAGATGAAAGGACAAACATATTCTAGAAAATTTTACATCCAGTTACCTAAACTGAACTTTTAAAATTTTTGGCAACTAAAAACCCTGAAAAGTTTGACAGTCATATGTGGTGATGCTCCTACAGCAAATATTTTTTAGGCCCACCTTTTGCTCCAAATACAGCTGCATTTAATGGATGCCTGCATGGCATTATGCTGCCAAAAAAAAGTGTTTTAGTCTCATCTAATCAGAATTTTTTCTCACATCTGCTTATGTTCTTATGAGCCTTGTAAAAACAGGACTCATCATAGATTTGAAAGACACTCAAAGTGTGTGACAAAGTTTATTAACCCTTATCCAGTGTGAAAGTTCTCCATAACTTCATCCCTAACCTTTCTGGTAACTTTCTTATTTTTTATGATACTGTTTGTTCACTGATGTTCAGCTGGATTTATACTGAGATTAAATTAAACATTGTTAAAAGTGTGTGTAGATTTGTAAAAACTGGAAACTAAAACAGTGTATCATTTTCCACCACTTTAAAATTATGTACCTTCTGTTGGTGTGTAATAAAAGGTCTCAATGAATTACACACGTTTATTGTTACAATGTGAAATACTTGTAGAAGCTGAAACGGATAGTGATTTTTTTTTTGTAACCTAAACAAACAGAATCTTTTTTCTGTGTTTATTATTTTATAACTGTTACAGGTGATTAGACCAGGTTGGTTTCCAGGAACCCAGCTGAACCCCCAGGCATCCTCTCCTTACGCAGGTGGAGGGACCCTGAACACCCTGCCCTCTCCAGCTCCTACACCTTCACAATCGCACCTGGCTCAAGTACCACAGATGCACCAGTGTTTACACCTCCATCAGCCTCCCCCTATTCACCAGATGACCTATCAGCAGTCCCCTTTGTGCCAACAAATGCCACAGCCTCGGATGCAAACCCCCATACAGTCGCAGACACAACCCACCATCCTGCTGCCCCAACCAACACCTCAAAGCCAACCGCTGCTGCCTTCCCAAACCCCCACATTAACGGCGTCCACGACCACATCTATGCTGCATGTCGACGGACCCACCGTACCTACAGACACCACAGGGACCGGGGGTTCATTTTGCTCCTGTTCCTCACCCTCCTCCACTTGTTCCTCATCTTGCTCAACTGCTGCCCTGCCTTCCAGTGCCAAAACTCACCCAACAGCTCCCTCCTCTTCTGCTCCTTTGGGAGAAAAAGTAAAACCAGGAGAATTGAGAGATAAATAAGTACCAATCAATGGTAATAACAAATGAAGCAGAACATAAATCCGATTCATTTGGAGTGACAATCAAGTGCAATGTGTGTGGGGGACCTGTGAGTGAAATAAATGTATGTTTTACAGCTGGGTTGTGGCTAAGAAAATAAATAAATGTGAAAGAAAAAAATAACAGATTAATGAAAAAGTCAGTGGCTGGAGTTACAAATGATTGATCGCTGTCTTTTATGTATGAGTGTACATGTGGCTCCAGCGCTTTTAAACATTTGAGAACATATCACACAACGACCTCGGTTGGATAGAGAAAATAAACTATTTTTACTTGCAAACAAACTGCTGGACCTGAAAGCTCTCAAAGCTGGGAGAACAAGGACACAAAATTTTATTGTTGCAGTATTTTTGGCTCAGTCAGCCAGCCTACAATAAAACAACTACCACATTTAAAAGTGCAATTAGTTACCATCATCCAAGTTGGTCAGTGTTTATTCTGTTGATTAAGTCGCCTGAAAACCATAAAAAATTTTTGTAGAGATACAGTAATTAAAGATCCATCAATAAATTTTATATTATTCTTTTTACGACCCAGTACATTGTGAAGAAAAAATATACCGCCAATTACACAATTAGGCTTTTCAACATATGTGGCTGCTCTCATCCCCTAATGATGGAGTCTAATATGTAGTGTTGTGCCTGCTACAGCATGTGCTTTTAGTCATTTGTGATATTAATAGTCCAAAATTATATTATACATTGATTCTTTAAAATATTGCCCAGTAAACACCTTTTTTTTTTAGATTTTGCTTGAGTGGAAACTGCCACTACCTGCAGTACACTCATGACCTCAGTGTAGCTTGGAGCCTGTTGTAGCTGATACCAGTTGAGCTCTCCATATCAAGCTTTGCTGGGATAATGCTGAAGAGGAAGATAACGGAAAGCAAAATCAGTAAAAACTGGGGAAACTCTACAGACTTAAGCATTTCAGTGTTGCCTTTGATAATAATTGTATTATTGTGTGCATGGCTGTATATGTTTGAGAAAAGCAGTGAGAGGCTTAATTGTGTCTCACAAGATGAACTGCATCCATTTTTCCTTTCATTGAAAGCAGGATGTCACTCTACGCATTCACTGTGTGGTAATGTTTACTCTGCCTGTCTTCTAGGCTGGCCTCCTTAAGTTACAGAAATGATGAAAAACATTAGGTCTTAATGGTTGTTAGTTTGATGTTGAAAATGGTTGAAAACCTGAGTTGCATTGAGTTCTACAATGCCTTGTAAAAGGGTTATTACCATTTGTATTTTTTTTTTCACATGACAACCACAAACATGCTGTATTTTATTAGGATTTTGTGTGTCAGACCAACACACAGAAGTGCATGCTTATAACGTTTAAGAAATATTAAAAGGTTTATTTGCAATAATATAAAAGTAAGGCATTCATCTAAAGTTATCTGCCTGAGTCAGCCCTTTTTAGAGTAAGTTTAGTACAGCTTTTTGTATGTATAGAGTAAAATTTTGGCCTTTTATCCTTCCCAAATAAAAATAATACTCAAGTTCATTCAAATGTAATTTAAATCTTTTTTGTTGACACCAATTTACGTGTTGCCACAGACGAAGGGCTGCTCCTAACGATCTGGCAAAAAGATTTTTGATTGATCTATTAAGAATCAAATAGCAAAATATATACAGATGAAGGTTTTGCATTTTAAATGGAAAATGCAATATTCTATAATTGGTTTAACCCACTTAATAATTAATCAGTTAATTAGATCATGATTATTTAAGTAATGGATAATAGTATTAATTATTTCAGCCCCACACAGATGCTTGGTTATATATACGGTTGGGGAAATGTTTCCTGTGTCCATTATATGGCTTCTGGCAAACTGCAGGAGGATTTTGACTTTTAACAGTTGAATAATCTTGCCACTTCGCCATGAAGACATTTGTGATGTCCATGTATAATAGGAGACTGGGATTTTGTATGACATAACCCTGCTGTGTTCCTTGGTATTTATATAGCGCCAATTCACACATTTCATCTCAACGCACTTTACAGAGACAATTCAACCAGATCATTCAGACAAATTAATTTAAAGTTTTCTATCTAAGGAAAAGCAGTTGATTGCATCGACTCATTGACTTGAAGGCAATCCCTCACTCAAAGCATGCTTGTAGTGAAAGGGGAGAGGAAAAACTCCCCTTTAACAGGAAATAACCTCCAGCAGAACCAGGCTCTGTGTGAGTGGCTATCTGCCAAAGCTGACTAGATTCTTTTCTACTAGTTAGGTCACATACATATGAAATTGAGTTAAATAAAAAATGCATGCAACACTTTTCAAATACTATTTTTAGAAAATCTAATAAAAATATACATTTTTTTTTTTCAATTCAACTTGGTTACCCACTACCTTGTGTTGGTCTGTCACAAAACAAATATGTTTATTTATTAAGGTTTGTGGTTGTAATGTAAGAAAACTTGAGGTTTGAATACTTTTTGAAGGCATTGTATTTGTTTGCCATTCCTTATTTTAGCTGTGAATTATTTAGTTTCTGGTCTTAATTTTTTTAATCAAGCAGAAGTGGAAATATGGGCCATAGACAAGTTTCATTTCAAGTGTACAAGCAGGGGTATGAAGATTGTTATATCAGCAGCTGGTATATTACCAAACATTTTCTTGATCTAATTACATTTATCCATGAGCATGTTTGAACATCAATGCTTGAGTGTTGATATAATTAGCTCACACTGCACTCAAAATGTAATTTGTTGTATTGGTTATTGAACTATTCTAAAGTTTGGATTGCACAAGGAAATGAAAATGATGACTGTCAGTCAGAAAAAGGACAAATGTATTAAAGGGTGTGATTGAGAAACTACATATATTAGAGCATAAATTCAAAGCTTTCTTGTATTTTTAGTTTTTCAAGACTTCCTACATTTCTACAAAAGTGTAGTGCATTACTAGTGAAGGTGAGATACTGTGATGTGATGTCTGATACTAACGTGTCTAACGATATATTTTTTGGTCACGATGATGAAGCTTACTTTGTCTTTTTGAGTGTAAGCAAATTGTTATCTAAAAGATGAAGATTATTTTTGTATTTTGAAATAGGAATGTACAAACTGTAAAAAAAATTGTATGCTTATGATTATAAACCCAAAGTTACTAAAAAGTTGAGAAACCTTAAGTTTTCATCTTTTTATGGGCCCTCCCTATAATAATACATAGCACCTTTTCAAATGTATGGAGGAATAATCAGATATTTTTTGAAGAAAATTGGCAATTTTCCTACAGTTAACTTCACTACTGGATGATAATGCCTTGAAGACTAAATTGACACTAGGTCTCCTGCTGTCCTCTAGGTCTATTATAATAAGTGATGCAAAAACAATCTTTTGATTGAAAGTTGCATGACTGAGAACATCTGATCAAAGAATATTCATGGAAAAATGAAAATCTAAATAAAAATACCATAAAGTATATTACTGATGATTCAGCCTTTGTAAAATATAACTAATTGAATTGTTGATTTTATTTATGTTTTGTAACTAATCAAAATAAATATTACAAAACTTGTTTTAGTCTCATGTTTTAATTCAAAAGTGGAGTTTTTTTATTCTTTTTTTATTCACAATGCATTATTCTTACATGCTTATATCACCTCTATAATCCAGTGTCAGTTTGAAGTTATAAACAATGATGACGGTTCTAAAACTGATTTTCTTTTTTTGTTTGTCAGAACAGAAGAAAACAAGTTAACGGTTTGGACATTTAAATAATGCAACACAGACAAAAATGTATGGGGAACAGTTATAGTCGGGAGCAACTGCGCAATATATTTCAGACCTATAATAATTTACACTACTTTATGTTGCAACCCCAAACAGTTTTTTATTTAATAGACAAATACTAATCAGGATCTGCGAAGTATAGGATGTAGGGCGTGGGCTTTCATTTTTCTGTAAAAATAAAAATCTAAAAACATGTGTTTGTTTTCACCCCCCTTTAAATTTGATATCCCTGAATAGAATTCACTGCAACCTAATTGTCTACAATAATCATCTAATTCAATAGAAATAGAAGAAGCTTTGCATGTCATTGTGTGGTGGAAAACAAACATATTGTTTGGCTTCAATTTCTTTTAGTATTGTCAAATTCAGTGAGCTCTAGATAAGACATTCTGTATTAGATGTAAATATTTTTGTTTTATTAAAGACCACACATGTAATTAAATCCTACAGGGGTTAGGTTATAAAAAAAAAAAGATATATCCTTTCAGATCACAGGTAAAATTGACCAAATATGTCTGTCCCCCTGAAACAACAGTTTCACTACAGGAGAGATAATATGTAAAAGAGACTTTGTCTTTAGAAGAGCACACAAAAACTAATGACACGTGTCAGGTTTTCAGACTTGGTTAGATAACCAGAAATTGTTCACAAACACTATACAGGAGCAGTATTTAGTGGCCAGAAAAACAAGCAAAAAACATAAACTGATCATTACCTGCAAAATAAACTTAGAAAAAAGGGGCTCTCTATATATATAT